TATATATATATATATATATATATATATATATATATTCTGGGGGCATTGATGAATGTTTATTTTTTATCGCAGAACAGCTCTCAACCTAGAAATGATTGATTTAAGATCAGTTTTGAAGATAGCACAAAAGGGCTTACTGAGCAGACCAAAACACATTTAGTTCAATAAAAAACATTTTAGCCACTTTGTGGTAGGAGAAAAAAATAGTGAAGTGCGATTTTATCCTCCGTTGCCCTCTTTTCTGGACTTCTTTTATATAGGATGAGTGACCTTTGAAAATTTACGCTTTTCACATTGTCCTCGGTACTCTGGATGTCTTGAAAGAAATAACTGCATATTTTTGAAAGTTTTTCTTCTCATAACAGAGTAAGTTGCTTTTGCATTGAAATCATTTCCAAGCAAATGTTTTGAATATTTAGAAAATAGTGGGCAAACGAAGCGCGTAAGTAGCATTTTGAACGTTTAAAGAAAATTTTTCTCTTTAAATAGGCTGCAATTAGAAGGAATTTGCCCCCATAACCCTTTAACTAATTCTAGTTTACAAACTATTCTATGATATTTTTGTTATTTTCATATGTTTTTTCGTTTCAAGAATATAACAGAAAATAAGATCAAAAAACCGCTAGGGAACAGAAAACTAAAGCGTGGAAGCGTTCTCAGTCACCCAAACCTCTTGACGCTTTACTCATACCATAAATGATTTGAAGTTCAATCACTAAGGCGCCATTCAAGTTGAAAATAATTTTTTCTGCTCTCCATAGAAGGTTATACTGCTTTATGCTTAAACAGTATGAACTTTCAATAGATTTTTTTGTTTCGTTCGTTATCGGACATTACTGACTATTTGTTGGTTATAACAGATAACGAACGACAACACAGAGTTAAGGAAAAAAAAGAAAACTTCCCAAATTCCTTTGCCATTCTTCAATTAAGCGAAAGCAACAAGAGCAGCAGCAGCAACAAAAGCAACAACAATAATAGCAACAGCAGCAGCAACAACAACAACAAAAACAACAACAACAACTGGTCATTGTTTAGTTAATTGTACCGTGTGCTAACTCAAGTTGATGTTGTCATTATTTTAGCAGAGAGGTGGTGTTCTTCCTATGCCTGTCGTTGATTAGAATTAGGTTCATAGCTTTTCGGCAAATGGCGACAAGCAAAAGTTTTTTTTTGTCATATTTGCGAATGATTTTTGAAAAACTTATTGACTATTCTGTGGGTTGCATTCGATCAGAAATTTATGCCCTCTTCTTCACACTGCTTTGCTGGGGCGTTTATGTATCGCTCTGCCGTTATAGCGGTGGGGCGGAGAGAAAATGTTTGTGTTTTCTCTCGTTTTTCTCTCAGAAACTACGACTAAAGGGCCTCGTCAGCTGCGCCTTCGAAAATTCTTTACACCCAGCTGCCCATTTCTCTTGCTCAACCAGAACTGGTTCTGCAAAAATTACCGATACAGTCAGTCCTCCTGAATATCCACCTCTGTTTGTTTCAGCCGGCAAATTGCGGCCTCATTCTCTGTACAATACTTCAGCCAATTTTCCTAAAGGCTTCAAGTGAAAAAGCGGAGATTTCTAGTGGTGTTCTATTTCGTTGATTACCGGCCAGCTTAATCGGACAGAATAAAAGAAAAAAAAACAAAAAAAGCAAAAGAGCACTGTCCGACGGAAGTCTATGTCTGCACTGAACCGTCCGTCGTCGCCGGCATCAACCAGCGGTGCTGCTTCTCCAGACGATGTTGCCGCACCTGGTGAAAATGTAGGGTGTGCTGCTCCGCATGGAGCGGAAGCCGTTGACAAAGTGTCGACAGGTTCACCAGAGAACTCGCTGCGAGAATCTCTGGTTAAAAGTCCAAATAATACAGTCGTGCTGGTGAACAATGATCATTTTGAACAAGAAGGTAGAAAGGATTTTTTTTCACAGGACCGGGATTCTGAGTTGAGTGGGAGGGAAAATCACATAAAAGTGAAATTTGCCTCAAAAGCAAGCAGTCCAACGAGTGAGTATTTTTGGTTTTACAATTGTAAAACGATATCCAATTTGTCACTATTAATGTTTTATTGTTCAACTTTTGCTATTTTAGGAAAAAAAATATGGAAGAGAGCATATTTATATTTCAGAGTCAAGTGAAGTAGTTCATCACCATCCAGTTTTTGTTAAAGACACATCCAAGTACTGGTACAAGCCCACTATCTCTCGTGAAGAAGGTATTTGACCTTTCATTTTCTGCCTCTCTTTTTGCTTTTAAAATTGATCTGTTTACATAATTTTAGCTGAGATTTAAAATCTGCAGCTTTTTTTTTTTTTTTTTTTT